TCAAATCAAATCAAATCAAATCAAAATCTATTGATATAGCTTTACAACGGAGTAGAGTTAGTTAGTTGTTTGTCAAGAGTGTTGTTTGGGGTCATGTTCAACTGTGGAACCCATGGGTGAGTCTCAGTGCCCCATACATAAGGTTCAGGGGTGGTTTTTGGAAGGTTCTGACCAGTTCTGACGAACCGATAGCAGAGATTTTGAGTAGCTCAGAGAATGGGCAAATGCCACCTCTGGCTGGCCGCGCCCCCATTTATTTTCTGCCTCCCGAGCCCCAGCTGATCGGGAGGAAATGGGGATTTTGCAGTATCCTTCCCCTGCAGTGGGCAAGGAATGGACTGCCAATCAGACTGCAAAGGAGAAGGATTTGTACTTGCAAGATGATTGAGCTCATTTGGTGGTGTTTTCTGTCTGGTGTAATTAGGAAGGCTGAGAGAAAGACTCCGCATATCAAAAACCACATGCTTCTCTCTCTTTTCCAGACCAGAATCATCCTCCTCAACTGGTGCGCCTGGTTCCTGAGGATGAAGAGGCCTGGGGAAGGCCGAGTGCGCCCGGCTTGCCAGCACAAACGCCGCTGCAGCATTTCCAGCATGGAGATCAATACGGTCAGCGGCCAGCAATCCAGCAACGGGAATATGTTGTATATCGGCTTCCGAGGCGTCCACTGCACCCCGGCCACCGATTCCGGGGTGATCTGTGGAAGAATGGCGTGTTCCCCCACGGACGAGGAGAACCTCCTTCACAACGGCCACTCTTCCGAGACGGACTCGGATCTGGCCAAGATCCTGGAGGAGATCCGCTACATCGCCAACCGCTTCCGAGACCAGGATGAGGCTCAAGCGACTTGCAATGAGTGGAAGTTTGCGGCCTCCGTGGTGGACCGGCTCTGTTTGATGGCCTTCTCGGTCTTCACCATCATCTGCACCATCGGCATCCTCATGTCGGCACCCAATTTTGTGGAGGCGGTTTCGAAAGATTTTGCTTGAGCCGTGCGCTTGGGCACTGCCCTTCGCCCCCAAAGTTTCTCCAAATCTGTTATGTAGCAATAATGTATTTCAGGGCACTTGATTCTATTGGATATATGGATGCAAACTTTGCTTTTCTCTTTTCTTTCCTGGGGGAGGGGCACAGCGGAGGGTGGAGGTTCAGGCTGATTAAGAACCTCAGTGAGGTAACGTGAGGGCTCCTCCATCACTACCTGGCCTCACAGCTTTGGCGTCTGGAATAAACTCTTTCAATAAAGTCAGCTTGCCTCTCGTTTTGCATTATTGATTCAGCTGAGAATATTTGTTTTTTTTGTTTTGTTTTCCCGGATAATTTTGCTGTTTGTTTTGTTTGATTGGATGTGTTGCCTTGCAACTCCAAATTGTTCTTTAAGCAATTGGTGTCACCCCTGCTGGAAAGTGGTGCAAAGAAAGAAAGGAAATCTGAGCCTTTTCCTTTCTCACTTCTCCTCCACCTCCACCTCTTCCTCCATCTCCATCTCCATCTCTACCTCCTCCTCCTCCCCCTCCTCCTCCTCGTACTGCTTATTTGCCAAGGGTTCAATTGGTTCAGTTGGGACCATAAGCAAACTGCAATGGTCTTAACCATGCTTCTTCCTCTTCTTTCTTCTTCTTCTTCTTCTTCTTCTTCTTCTTCTTCTTCTTCTTCTTCTTCTTCTTCTTCTTCTTCTTCTT